TTGCGTTTAGATCTGCATGGAAACATAATAACATAGACAACTATACAGTACGTTATGTAATCAATGAAACCGTTCTTAAGTAAAGGATTATTCTATATATTAGTAAATGGGTAAGATGTCTTTAGTATAGTAATCCATCCTTTCATTTTACCCTCTGGATATAATGTATACATGTTAAGGTTATTCTGTACCAAAAAGTATAAGCTTACATTACTTGAGCATGTTGTATTGTCTGAAAATTTGTCACCAATAGTACGGCAAGAACTGAAAATACCTGATTCAAGATTCAAGTAACGTCGAACACCCTGGGGGTACCATCTACAATTGATAATGTGAAAATAGCAGGTCATTTCGTTCAGAAGCCTACTACCCTAGAGGCTGTATGTAAATAAAATAAATATATTATTTCAAAATATTAAACCTGTTTGTATTTTTAAATACAATGTTTGTAAAATTTAATAATAATAACCAGTATTTAGCCCACTGATTGTAGTTTTAATTAGTGATGATGTGTTTTAGTAAGTGATGATGTGTTTTAGTCAGCTGATGTGTTTTAATATTACTTGTATGAATACAGTGAACCTAGTTTACCTAGTTTAACAGTCTATAGAATGTACAACGAAGGTTGTTTTGTGATAGCTTCTCTATTATAAGTTCAAATTGGTGTTGAAGTAAACTACGGAAACACACCTATTTACTTTTACTTATATTTACTAGTAATACGTAATGAGGTGTTATACTGACATTTTATATTTATAATGTCAGATTCACAAAAACACACAATTTTCTTTTTTCAGTGAATAACATTTAAGAAGATGATGTGTGTTCAAATTTCACCACATTTTACCAATAATCTGATTATACAAATGTGCAATTCATTGGATATTTTTGGTAGCAAGTGCTCAGTTCTTTTATGATTATAAGAAATAACCCACCAAAATGTGTGCCTGGGGAGGAAAAGGAATGATGAACGTTGAAAGCTTGTTTAAAACTTTGTCGTCCAGTGTGTCAGCTAAATTCTGGGAATATTTTAAAGGCAATGAGGTATGTGAAATCAACTTTATGTCTATCTATCTACTATTCTATGTTAATGTGTTAATATTTTAAATAGGGTCTCTCAGCCATGAAATTAAAAGAAAGCAATTGAGCGAATCAACTAGCTTATATGATTTTTCTTTTCATTGATGTAATATGATTCATGCATAACGAACAATTAACCCCAATGGTCGTGGTGTTGAATAAAATAGGAAATCAAACAACCGTTAATTGTACAAATTACCTGCAGCTTCACAGTTTTTATAATTAACACTTATTGAGGATACAAACACTATCCCATTTATCACAAACAAATTTATAAACATATCATAGTTATCAGGAGTCAACAGTCACTAACGAGTCAATAAATGACCGAGAACTATTCAACAATGACCTATATGAAAGTCTTATAGATATTATCATGTCATGGTTATCACTATATACCATTAATTTACTATCACCAAGAGTGGCCACAATGAATTGTCCGATAACCTTAAAACATATTGGTAACAAGAGTCAATTAAGATATTGATAACTATAGACCTGTCACGAGTCACCTATGAATTAATTATAGTTATCACGAGTCACACATGACGTATTAACTTTTGAACAACATGGTTATAACGAGTCACCTTGAATTAACTGTAGACCTATCATAGTTTTCACGAGTCAGTGGTCACACATGTATTAATTATTATAGACCAACATGGATATAACTATAGACCTATCGTGGTTATCATGAGTCACACATGTATTGACTATTGACCTATCACGAGTCACCATGAATTAACTGTAGACCTATCATAGTTATAACGAGTCACACAAGTATTAACTAATACAGACCAACCTGGATATAACTATTGACCTATCATGGTTATCACGAGTCACACATGCATTAACTATTGACCTATCATGGTTATCAAAAGTCACCAATGAATTTACTATAGACCTAACATGGTTTATAAGGAGTCACCTTCTATGAATTACCTATTGACCTACATGATTATCACGAGATCACTGTGAAATAACTGTAGACCTAACATGGTTATAACGAGTCACCTATAAATATTAACCATAGACCTATCTTGGTTATCACGAGTCACCTATGAATATCAACGGTAGACCCACTTGGTTATCACGAGTCACCTCTATAAATTACCTATTGATCTACATGATTATAACGAGTCACTATGAATTACCTAGACCTATTGACCTACATGGCAACACCAGATGACCATGAATTAACTATAGATAGACCCATCATGATTATAATAAGTCACCTATGAATAACCTATAGATCTGCATGGATATCACGAAACATCTATCAAAATTATCACGAAGAAATTAACAGGTTTTTGTCATCAAAACTTGATACTTGCACTTGAAAACGAGATGATACCCGTCAAGAACTTTATTTTTGCGCTTTATTCAACGCTTCAAATCAGTGAAATATTGTTCGTTCATCACGTAATTCGAAAGCATTATCGGGAAATTGAAACAAACCAACTAAACAAAATCCGTCAGAAATTGTACAGCTGTAAGTTAGCATTCTTGATATACTTGATAAAATATTCAGGAAGCTAAACTGTCACAAAAGAATTCATTTACTTGACATGGTTTCAAACGTCAAATAAAGTCATTATTATATACTCATGCAATGAAGTTTTAATCTTATAATATTTACATCAAAGGTGTAAACATTTATTTAATAATGAATGACGCGCATCAACTCTTCCGATAGAAAACAAAACAGTGGAAGGTTTCTGGCAATGATCAGCTTTAAGTAAGCATTTATTGGGAACTAAATTGAATTAAGCATCAGTCAAAATCATTTGTGCATTTAATTAGAATTGCATGGATATAATGATTTTCAAAATCCCAGATTCTAAATTTTCTAGTACAGGCACATCATATCTAATAAAAGTCATAAAAGTTGCATTACAAAGACTTCGGACTCTTATTGACTTATCAGACAAAAAAGCTGTAGGCCTATACAGTTTCAGTCTCTTACTAATCTTTACTATGAAAAGTGTTGGGAAAATAGAATCCTCTAATACTTAAAAAAAAACAAACGGGAAGAGTGCCAATTTCAGGTCAAGGTTACAAGCATTCCAAAAGAAATAGCACTGTAAAATGTATGAATGGGGTAATCAAAATGTGCTCAGCATAACTGTCAAGAACTATAGTAATAAAAATATACAACGTTACATGAATAGTATATAATACCGATACGTATTTGTTATGTCGACAACACTTATTAACTTCTCTCAATATATCTTAGATAAAGATATGTTTTAACAATATACCAGATAATTCTAATGATTCGTACAGAAATAGACAGTTTTATCTTTTTATCATTGACTACAACAACTGATGTTTTGGCAGAGCGTCAGTTATTTAGAATATTCATAGAATACAGCTATACATGATGTCGTGTTTGCACCGAAACACTTTAGTCTATTGATTTTACCTACATGTTACAAATTACACATACCTAGCATAGCATAAGATATCGATTTTAAACATACTTTCAATAATAAAACGAGCAGCTTTTTCAGTTTGAATTAAAAAAAAAAACAACATTCTGCAGTGCAACGCCTTGAAAATCTATAAACTCTATCAGTATATAGCAAATAGTATCTAAAAAAAAGTGATATCTATTTTACAATATGTAACATGTTGAATTATTTCTGTTACTTTATATCAAAAATTGTATGAAAACCCGAAAGGGGCGTATCTAAAAAAATTCTTGAAAGGGGGGTGGGGGTAAAAAAAGAGACATAATTTTGACTTCAAAATAACATCTGCCATATGCGTGATATATATTTATATATACATATATATTATATAGGAATTTTGTTATTATTTTCATGGTCCATATTCAGTCGATCTTCTATCATGTCATTTGGAGGTTAATTTGTCTTCTCGGCTATAATAAACGATGTAAATGAGTAGGCATCAACCAACAACTGCAGTCTTAAGAATCCCATCTAAATTATACTTTTCCTTCCTTATTGCCTATAAACAAGATTTATGTTTTAAAGACAGGCTTATTACACTGATCAGTCATTCTTGACGGAAGTCATAAATAGAGGTGCTATAGCTATATTGGAACCTTATATACCATGGTGGTCTACCATGGTGGTCTTACAGATTCATGCAACATCGAAATGTACGATGGCTTTGAAATGCTATGTTATATTATTTATTGTGATATTGGAACTTCGGGCGCTTCGAAACGAAACTGCATAATCGACGAAAGTCCTCAATTTCGGGAAATCAAATACCTTTTCATGTGGAAAAAATTGTTTCAACTGGCTCAATCGTATCGTTTCTTGTGTTCTTGATTTGTAAACTGAGCTTTTAAAATAACGAAGGACCGGCCACTTCATTACAAATGTTGAGGATATCACACTTATTTTTTAAATTTGAAAGTTTAACGACTAACCATTGTAAGTTGACAACAAAAGGTGTGAACAAAGGAACTTAGCACCATTCATGATGCACGTTCTTTGTATCCTACACAATATACTAGGACAAGGCCTTACTAATCGTAAAAATGATATCGAAAAGACATACGTTTCTTATAAGAAAGTGTTATCGAATAATAGAAATTTAAGAAACTGGGAAATATATTCTAAACAAACATTTTATTATGTAGTTTGAGACAAAATCAACTTGAAAAAGAAAAGGTAAAAACTCGGTTTGGTCCATTCTTAATGAAGGGAGGTATTTTTCAAAGCACTCTATTATTCACTTTTTTGTGACCATTTAATAACAATTACGCAAATAATTTACAATATTTTGAAATACTTTAATTCATAGAAGTCCTGCCATGTATCAAACGTGTTCAAAATTGGTTTTGGTTTGCATAGTCTACGTCCTTCATCCCCGGGTGGGATTAGTCCACTATCGGTACTGAAACTTAACATGGCGATTGATGAGAGATAGAGAGTGTCGGAATAATGACAGAATTAAAAGCTTCTAAGGTTTGTTTACAATTATTGTCATAGTTCTATTTTTATGGTTATTACTGGTTTTAAAGTTACGGTTAATAATCCAGTAAAATTAAACAAATATTGCAGTATTAATTGCGAGAAATTTAAGTCATATTTCACAGAGATGAGAACTGGTACTGGTTTATTGTTAAATAAGGAACTTTCAATTCAGACGGTATAGGTTAATTGAAGCAAGAACTATGTTGCGATTGAGTGATTTTTACCACACACCGCTCGTCATCTATTTGTCTTTTGATAATAACTTCTACGATATCAACTGGTGGTTATTGATGTTATTCACCAGTTGGTTACAGAGCTTGTTATCTACCTCTCAATTCAGGATTAAAATATTTTTATAAATGATTGATCATACACTGATAGAATATGACATTTGCTTTGGAGTTGAAAACATGCCATATTTATAAGGTGAATTCACTCAATCTCATGAAGTGGTTTGAAATTTATGTACAGGTATTTGCATCACTAAATCAAAGATTGATATATAATTTTACACTTCAAAGCATAGGTACCGCTTAAAGGGTTTTCTCTTTTTGTTCCTCCAAAAAACAAACTTAGTACCAATTTTTGGAGCTTGTGCATCACAATTTTCTGATCATGTTAAAGTGTAGCCATCCAATTTTATGTGGCAGACTAGATATTCTAAAATAGGGATTATAATCCAATCTTTTCTTTATTGGATGTTACCTTTTTTAGTTGGTCCCAAATTCACACTGTATCCCTTTAAAAATTAAATTTCATTTCATACAGCTTACAATACTCAAGACAGAATCCATTTTTAAAAACAGAATTAGATCTATCAAATATTTCAGTTTGTAGCTGAATATTACAATTAGTCTGTTATCCTTGGATCTTCAACAGCAGAAGACTGTATATGCAAGTTTATCCGACTAAAACTTAAAAAACAGCTGATTATGTATTTTGGTGTTATGATAAACAATTTGATATAGTTTAATATTAGTTGAGTTCTAAAAGGACAGTTATGCCATTTTGAGGGTTGATTTGAGTGTTGAATATATGTAAATAGTCTTCAGAAATAATAGAAAAATGAAGAAATTCACATAATTCCTTTAAAAATACTTCAAACAAGGAATTTTACTCATTATTTCTATATAGCCTATGTCTTTTCTATATATCACAGAGTATCTTAAAATGACTTGACGAGGTGTCATTTTAACTTTCAAATGCGGATAATTCTGGGTACACATGGATTTGAAGGGTCAAATTTCGACTGTGAGCTTTTGAACAGTATTATTGATTGGCTTAGCTTAAATATTCCAGTTTCCTTTAAAGAAAAGTCAATATAAAATTCAATCCGAAACTATCTCATTAAATTTTAAAACAATTCATATATTATATAAAGAAATTTGCCAGTTAGCTATCTATATGCCCTTTGTTTAAGATATAGAACATGCATGTTTAAAAATATATGCATGATATAGTACATGTCAATATGACATTACAATATTCAATTCAATTTATTATTTCATAGTCTTATGTTACACATAATTGTTATTTATTTCCCATGTTTGACTATAAATTGAACATATTCTATTTTTATCATGTTTGAAATCTGATACATGCATGTTATAATGATGATACTCAGTTTTAATTATAATCATTATTTGAGAATATCCATTACAATAATTATTTTTCAAATCTCAAAACTTACTGACCTTATTCTCTATGGATATTGTTTAGATTCATTCATTTCAAAGTAGGGTTATGCAAGGATTGGTTAATTTAAAATAATGTGTAGTATACAATTGTTGCTGTCTGGTGTGGAAATATTGACTTTTTAGTATAAAAACATACAGCAGGGAATTGATAGTCAAGATACAGAAGTCTTGTTAAACCTTGATCCATTTTTTAGACAAACATTATAATGATTCAAATGAGGAGAGTGTCTTGATTCAGGGCAGTTACGTATTTGCTGCACATATTTATGCATATTGCTAGGCTATTACTTTACTACAGAAAAGTGCCTATGTGAGAAGTACAGTACAGCTATGTGCATCAAGTTTGATTTTTAGGAGTATGGTCTGTATTTGTTGCAGACTTTTTTCTGACATCAGAACAAAAATATAAAGTAGAAAATCATATATCAACATTTCCTTGGCCAATTTGATAACTTGTGGAATTATATTTGGGCACTTCTATTAGTTTAGTTGTGGATACAAAATTAAAAAAAAAAACTTTGAGACAGTGGATTGGAACAATATTAATGTTGATGTTGAATATTTATGAGTAATAATGAACATTAAAAGAATGAAATATTAAACATCTGTCTCATTATTATTGATTTTCACAGAAACGTTTATTACAAAACTAGTTACCTGTCAACAGGTGGAGGTTCTTATTGATTCAAGGGAGAGAAATCTATTATGACTAATATTATTCTGTCTTGACGAGTGTAACTGGATCAATTTTTCCATATGTAATCTGTGATTATCTGAATTAAGTGTCCAGTGGAGGTATAATCTTTTCTCACTTACTGCATTTTATGTACTATGAACATTGCACAGCTTTGTGTCTTTATTTTCATGGTTTGTGACCTGATATCTGAAATATATGACATCAACTTTATTCATTATGCTGTTAATTTTCATTCTGTTTTGTCACATCACCATTCATTCATTTGATCATGAAAATGTCAATAATGCTGTAGATATGACAACAGTATTGAGTTCTAGAAGAACAAGGCGTCAGATAGATGAATTGAGCTTTAAAAGCTAGTTCATAAAAAAAGAATAAGGCTACTGTTTCCCTTTAAGTGTGATGATTATGTATTACAGGTGGAGGAGACTGAGCCAGTAATAGAAGACAAAGACAATGATATTAGTGATCTATTAACGGAGGAATTAAGTTTGTATTATGGTGACATAACATCTATTGTAGTAAACCAAGTCTACAAAAATGTCTATAAAAGACTGTATGATGGAGACTATTACTTGTTTCGTCAGATGTGCTTAGAACCATATCTCAAATTATTGCAGAAAATTAAAAAGGTAAGTTTGCTCTTATTGTTTTCCATTTTCCATTACCAGTATTCCTTATAGGAATCCTTAAGTTTGACAGACCCTTGGATCAATTCCTGATAGCACCTCAGAATAGTATATTGTTGTTGATATGTGACCCCCCCATGGAACTTCTTAAAGATGGTTTTCCTTATTTTTAGTGACAAATTAAGCAAACTATTTGATTAATTGGGGTTTCTAATGAATTATTATTTATCCTTAATCATATCATTAATATGTTCTTATTGCATATAATTAAGAGTTTTAACCAAACATGAATGTACATGTATGTGCAGTCTGGATAAACAAAAAAAGACTTTTTGACCTTTCTTGATCGGTCCCTCAGTGGAATTCTGCTGGTAATTCTAATTTAGCTAATTGTGAATAAATTATGGAAATGTGAGACAAACTAGTATTTTTCTAAGTCATTAGAACACCTTCACTTTCTATTCATATAAGTATTAGCATTTTCATTTTCATAAATAAAAATAAGGGAACCCATTTTTAAATCTGCAACTGAGATTCCATTTAGTATACTTTTCTGTGATAGTCTAATTGTGTCCAGTTTGGATTATCATGTTTTGTCACATTTTGTAGAATGGAAAATATGTTTAATTCTTTGATAATCACAGATAGATATGTATTGAATATTGAATGGGTTTTATCTGTTATAAGAGAAGAAAATAGATAAAGTACTTCTTGAAAGTATTTAAAACATTTATCGCAAGTTTGATATCAGGTATTTTCAATTAATTTTACTTTGATAAAAAACAGAACTCAGAATTTTAGTTATGTTTTGTCTTGATAAGACTCCTCAAAGTTATAGAAGTTCTAGAAAGAAATGAATACTTAGTGATCAAATCTTCCAGAAATTTTGCAATTTTTATAAAAAAAAAAAAAAGATATAGATTTGATATATGATTTGATGTAACTGTTAAATTGATGTAACTGTTAAATATCCATAGTGATGTTATCACAGTTTAACTTCTACTAGTACCCAATATTCATTGTGGAATTAGCACTCTTTTAGTTATTTTCCTGCAAACCATTCCATTGACAGTAATTTATATGGTAGTATAAAATTGTAATAGTGTTTATCAGGCAATTTATTGATATAAGTGTAACAAACAGGTGTATGATGTAGATATAACTACTCTGCTCTGTATGATAACCTTTAAGATATAAACTTCTACATTAAGTAATGTACACTAGTGTATGGTGAGTTATAGAGTAGTTAAAGGTAGAAGTAAATTGTCTGAGTGGAAGAGAGTGAAAGGTGTATATACAATTAACAGGTCTGTTTACATTTTCACATTTACTTTAACAGTTGGCTTGATTCAACTTGTATAAGTATCTTACTCAATACGGTGTCATAGTGGCTACGTCTGTATGTCAACTCTTAAACATACAGTTTTATAGGTCTTCATTACTGATACAAATACATTATTTATCTCTTTACCCAGTCTACATTCTTCATCAGTTTTAAATGGATTAAATTTTATTCAGTGGCCATACAAAGGTAAGTCTGGATATTTTCAGCTTTGGTTTAATTTTTTCAACTTATTTTATTGAGGCCATCTTGAATTCTCACTTTTTCTTTTTCAATATGCCTTCATTATACTTAAAGGGCCTCTGTTTTCTTATGGTTTTCTAGGTATCTTTAGTAGAAGCATGATTACTCAGTAATGTAAAACCTGATAACAAAATGGCCATCAAAAGGTCAAACCCTCTTAAAACTAAACAAGAATTTTAAGTGTTAATGTGGGAAAGATTAAAGTGATACCTTGCAAAATTTTGTGCATTTCATATTTAAAAGATATTTAACAATGTCAGTGATTGGTACATTAGAAGATTGATTGTATGAACTGTGAACACTATTACTGAATATGTAAGCTAAAAAAATTCCTGTTTCTGAAACTTAGGTATGATTGGTCGAACAGATAGTGAAGATGCTCCTTTAAAGTTATGGAAATTTCATGTATTTAACCCTCTGATAAATAGTTGTTCTTGGTCTCTCTTTCTGTGATGAACTTTTACTTTCTAGGGGTTCATTCACTTCGAAAATGTTACACATCTCTGTGCAATACTGCACCATTTTTGTTACCTTGCTAGCAACAATAGTAAGTTGTTATCGGGCAGTTTTCACTAGATCAATAATTTTAATCTATATGTGTCTTTAAGGTTAAGATTTCACTCAATTTAAGGTGCTGAAGGGAGAATATATGTTATTTTAAGCTAAAGTTTCAGCTGTTTTAGTTATTAAATATATTATATTTCTCACATATTGGTGTCAATATTTCCACCTCAATTCACTCAGTTCTTTTCAATTGATTTTAAATTAGAACTTTGAAGTTAGTCGGTTGTTTATCTATGTATTTATCTGTAAGTTTGGTTATAGTTAGCTCTTTTATTGATTATAATATTAACAAGTATATTAAGCATGTTATCCAAGTTCAATAGTCCAATGTGTAATGGTTACTCTGTTAGTTTTACATGACAAAAGAGGGTGGTACATGCCCAATTCTTATTTGTTGTGTAGTTTATTGTATGGATAGTTTGATCTTGCATTATGTTTTTATAAATTTCAAACTTAATGCGTTGACTGAACCCTGAAATAAGCAACTTAATGAGTATGATTGAAGGCCATGGTTCGCCATTTGTGGGTGTTAATGTGAATCATGAATATATGTAAATAGTCTTCAGAAGTGATAGAACTACATGAAAATAGCACAATCCCCTCGAGTAAACCTCAAACTAGAGATTTCATTTTCTTTTTTATTTATGTCTTTTTCTATATATGGCAAAGTCTAAAATGTGGACACATAATGATTTGCAGCTCAAATTCTGATGGTGAGCTATTTTTTTGTCCCTTTAGATATATATTTTTGCACATGCTAACATTGTTTTTTTCCAATTCTTTATGCTCCATTTGTTATCAGTTTAATGCAATCAAAGTTAAAATTGTGTTATAAGTAGACTCTTTTAAGTCTCCTGTTGGCAAATATGAAATTAATGTGAAGTTGAATACACATGATGAAATGATAAAGTTTCTTGGTTGCAAGTCACTAGTGGAGAAGGGCATTCTCAGCCTACCTACCTACCTCTTAATTCAACTCTGACGGGTTTGCATGTCCTTTTGGAGAGTTTATTGTACCTAGGTCTGCAGGTGGATGTGGTGACTTCAAACATTTCCAGTCAGAACAGATTTTGGATGCTACAAGATGGCTAATTCTCAAGTCCTATCATTAGATGAAAGGTTATCTTCTCTTCTAATCAGCTTCAAATATTTCTTGGCAAATTAGGTTAGATAGTACCAGAAATAATAGATAGTACGAGTTAAATATTGATAGATATAGAGGTATATTTAGTACTTATATAAGTAATATTCCTACAGCTGTGACATTGATTTAAGTTTAAATCAATCAATATAAATTTGGTATATAGAATAAATAATCAGTTATATATCATTTAGAAACAGAAATTCTGAAGCAAATAACCACATATACTACATATACCTGACTAAAATTATCTTGTTAACTTCCTTTAATATTTTGAAAAAATATCCCCCACCAATCATGTAGATAGGTACAATACTCATGACAATCTGGAGGCTAATTAAATGCAATGATCTAGGTCTGTTTGGTACCATTTTTATGAAAAATTTTGTATCATATTTGTTTTGGCTTTGGAATGACTTGAGGTCTTTTGAGATACATGTTTATGCTGTTATAGATTTCATTTTCAGTACATGGACAGATTTTTTATCATGTTAATGCTTAGTTTCATATCCTGTTTTGTTCTGTAACTTAAGACAAAAAGTTTGGTAATTGCAGCTGTGAAAATATCAAAATATCACAATAACATGTCTGCTAATTTAATATAAAACTTATAATAATTGTGTTATGTTTAGATTATGATAATATGACAGATGCTATATATTTACCATGTAGATATAATTATATAAAGATAATACGAATGTGACCCTTAGGGAGTAAACATACTTGTATCACTTTATATTTCACATTTTTACTGCCTATGAGAAAGACTGAAATACTTCAAATGGCATCAAACATTTTCTTGTATTCAGAATTAGGGACTGGCTGTAGACCTACCACAGATGGTTACAGCGTTGGAATCTTTGCATAATGTCATTTTCTTTCTTACATCAAACAAATGGTGGTTGTCGGTTCCAATTTCAGTTGTTGTGTGAAAGTCTGAAAAAGGCATCTTCCTGATTATTCCTGTTGACTGTTTTGAACCTTAGTTGTCCTTGTAAATCTTTCTTTTGGTTCAGATCTAACTCAAAACTATTGTTATTGCTATTTGGATTCTCTAAAAGGGATGTTAAAATGGCAAACCCAGTCGCAGAAGGTGCTGAAGTACCGACTAGTGCTGGCACAATATATCGGTGAATCGATTTATCCCGATATGACCTAATGGTCATTACCTGGTCTGTTGTAATGTTGAAGATATAGAGTGCCAAGCCTAGAGAGTATCAATAACCACCCAGAAATCTTCCTTCAATAGTCTTCACACCTTATTTATATAGACTAAATAATCTGTACTTTTAACCTTTAATATACTATTTCTGATAGTCAATTAGTAACTTATAGTATGAACTAGTAACTTAAGAAAATGCTAGCTTGATATTCTCACAATCTTATTCTGGAAATCAAGTACCATGGAATAACTTAGTTTAGTCTTAGTAAAGCACCCATATCTCTTGTAAGAGAATTATTTCAAAATGTAATTCGTTGGTTAAGATAGCCATTTTTCACTTTTCAGAAAATAAGGGTTTGACTTTCCTAAATGAGGCATCAGGTGATTTTATTAAGAAATAAGAATCTAGAATGTGCCTTACAGTGGTTTCAAAGGTTGGCAATTGCCAGTAATGCTTCAGGCACTGAATGTTGTGTTGTTATATGAAAATACTTTAGCCTTTGGGACAAGTCATATGGATGCAAGTTCAAAATACTTCATCTTAACAAATACAGTAATCATTTAGATTTATACTTTATTGGCATTAGAGATGTTTAGTCTGTTAAAAAATTGACTTATTATGTGAGCTTCCATGTGGTTTGTGTAATAGCCTGGAGATATAACAACTAACAGTGGTTGTACTTGTTTTATACATTTACCAATACTTGTCTGACAGTATGATTAGTAAAAACTACCTGAGTCAGTAGAAAGGAAATAGCAATCTAGTGGACAACCTAGTAACAAACTACTTTAGATACAAATTAACAGTTTTCAGGTGAAACTTGACCAATATAACACCTAACTAATCACTTTGCAGACTAAAATCTACTATAAAGACAGACTGATTGAATTAATGAGATATCTGAAACTTAAACATGAAAGTCGAAAACATTTTTATCAGATATTGTAATCAGAAGGTAGTGAACATGATGACAGATTATCTTTTATAATATTCAACCTGCAGTATTCTTTGTGGTTTGAGGACTAAGATGTAGATTATGAATAAAAAATATATGTATATCTTTGCATAACTATAGAGTATTACTTCTAGAAAAACATATGATAGTGGATGCCCTATTTTTATGAACTTACCCAACGCTCTGTGATTTTCGCACAAGATAATTAAAAGTGAACTAAAAGGTCATCAGATTATTATGGGCACTAATTTAATTACCGATCAAAATACTAGTAAAGTTTGTACCTATTTGTTGATATAAACTTGTAGTGGTCGAGTTATTAAGATGTAGAGAGATATGAAAACTAATTTACTATGTGAACTCACTAAAAGGGGTGTTAGTGAATGAAGTAAAGTAGATATAAACAAGTGATATGAAGTTTTATGATTATATGGATGTAGGACATTGCCATGTTCTAAAAATACCAAAGATGCTGAACAAGATCCATCTGTTAAACGTACCATAACCATGTTGTGGTGAATTTGGACAAATAATACTAATAGTCACTCATGTTATATGTATCATTAGTCCAGTAGGTAATGGAACACAATGATCTTAAACTTGATTTGAGACCTAGATACAAATTGACTGTGTTTATCTCTGCACTTGAATTTCCATGAAGCATACTTCTGATTTTTTCATCATAAAATAAGTGACCACCATCTGTAAAAACAGAGTAAACCATAAAATATTCATTAAATCACAGTAAGAAATGATATTTAGTATAAAATATATGATTATAAATAAAAGAAAAGAGATTTGTGAGTTATGATGTTTGCCCAGGGCTATAAATATTGTTAGAAGGTATATTGAGCATATTAATTGTTAACCAAGACTAAAGATTAATGGTCAGAATAATGTAAACATTGTGGATGATTTTCTCCTACATTAATTCCAGTATTAATATCATAATCTGACTATTATTACCAGTGGTCAATAGAGTGGTCAGTCTTTATAATGGTTATATTAATCTAATATGTTTATAGGATTACAGATGTATTTTTTGACCTTGTTATAAATAAATCTAATAGATATAAATGATTTGTTTGATTAAAGAAAAGGTTACAAATATATATTCAATAGATAGATTAGTAGGAAGAATAACAAATTAGGTCTATAAAAAAATTAGCCTATTTTCTCTGATAAAGTCTGATGAAGTTTGGTTTGTGAGAATGATACAACTGTATTATGCATATTTATTTTGTGCAGGTTGATATGACCTATTCCTAATGCATGTAACTATTACACTACCAAGCTGATATTTCCATTTGTAAGAAAATCACCTGTTTAAATGCCATTTATTGTCAACTGTTTTCATATAACTGTGACAATGCATCATCCATTGGTGGATTGTATGTAAAGACTGCTGCTGTGCGTGCATCTTAAAGGGACACACTTGCCTTACCAGCACTGATGTTCGGTTCTCATGCAATCAAAAAATAATGTACTGATCCAGTTTCAACTGTTGTCACTTCCATGTGAGGTTAATATGTTTAAATTGTAAGAAAACCAGATTGGTCTGGAAATCAAATCTTGAAAAATGATATGGATAGCTTAGATTGGGGTCTACAAGTTGTAAAAGCAAATTTGACTAAGAAAGATAAGACATTGCAATATTTTCTTTGTGTCACAATTGCACAAATTGACTCACTTTCATAAGCTCATTGAAGCTGCAAAGATACTTT